CGAGTTACTATTTCACTCGCACTCAGTGCAAACCTAGTGTTCTTGATCGGCAGGCCGAGTGACACATTGTGAGAGTAGCCTGCCATCGTTCGCATTCCCTGAACCAATGCCATGCGGACTGATGACATCTGTCTACACCGATGCATCACGCCTAACACGCGCGTTGAAACCACCCAGCAGAAATAGTCCGTCGGTCGTTCCTCGGCACAGAACGTATCATGCAGGACGGCTGAGTGAAGAATTGATCACGCATGTCATTAGGATAACACGTGGTGGGACCTTACGTGCTTATAAACGTGAAGAACTTCCCTTGCGATTGGCAGGGAAAAAGTCAACAGTCTGGCGCTGGTACCTGTTGTTTCACCCACCAGGTGGGCATTGAGGCGCTCGGATTTTTCACATCCGGTCCCATATTCAGTGGTGCTGATGCGGCGTTGGCCACCCAAGAGAACATGTAGCCAGCACCAGCTTAATGCAACTTGCCTTGTTCAGAGAGCCGATTATCACTGAGCGCCGCAATATCCATGTTGTAGCGCGCCCGTTCTATCTCGACCAGTGCGGTGCGTCGGTCGGGGCGCTCACTCAAGTTCCGGTTCAGTAGTGTGCGCGCGTTCCAACATCCGATGTTGAGTGCTTTGTGCGCAAGCATACGATTGCATTGGTGGGCAATCGCACGCGAGGTGGTCGTTGTGCTTCGGAGGTTTGCTTGAGGGACTCCACCCGGAGCCTTTGGCTCAATAGCCTGACCCACAAGGCAGTTGGTGGTTTGGAGGTTTGCTTGAGGGACTGCGCCCGGAGCCTTTGGCTCAATAGCCTGACCCACAAGGCAGTGGGGAGCAGATCCAGCTCGGGAATGTGATTGCAGAGACAGATTGGGATCTGCTTGACGGCCGTCACACGCAGCCTTTGAGGTTCTGGAACAATTATCATATGTTTTGCGACCGGAATTGGATACGCACCTGCGACCAGGGCCAGACGCAGGTGGGCTTTTGGCGGGTTTGCACCAATTTGACTAGGGGCTGCCTGGCTTGAGGCGGGCAGTAGCAAACCATTGAACACCCGGAGGTGTCCTCCCACCGTCGGAGACAATGCGTGGCACTCGTGCTCTACGCCAGTCGAGCATTGAGAATATAACCCGTAACCCGTTGTCTCCCATGGCTAGGTTTTCCGGGAAGTGGGCCATCGACCACTTCCTAACCTCCGGAGAGGATGGACTAGGATACTGCCAGGGCGCCCAACCCTGACAGGAGAACGACTCGGGTCCTCAGCCAAAGCCTTCGATTAAATGAACACCCGAAAGGCAGCGGGTCTAGCACATGGTCAGTTAGCTGACTCATGCGGATTGGTGTCCTGGATCTTAGCAGGGAGAATGGCGAAACCTAACTCCCACCCAGCGGTCGCCCCGTGGAGGCGCCCAAGACATGAAAGTATGGCGCAGCAGTAGCAGCAGTGGGTAGGCCATCTGTCAGGATCTAGCCACCACCAACCTCAGGGCACCATAGGCTCTCCCGCCATCGCTGAGATTACATACAAAAATACATACTAGTCACACATGACTGACCTCCTGGTGGTCCTACATACATGTGAATTTTCGCTTACCTCGCGGACGAGAGACAATCACACCGGCTCTGGCCTGCCTTCTGACACGAATAGCCTGGAGTTAAAATAGAAGACGACATTTACACTCACTCCATCGATACGTCATCACCTTTCAGCTATGCTTCTACTTCGTTAGGCCAAGGCATGATGCGTTTTGTGTTTTAGGTTTACCAGGATCTCAAATCGTTCTTTCAAATCCTGACACAACAAAGCACAGACGGAACATTCACGGAATTATCCTATTGTTCCGGTCCCAATAGAAGTTGAACTTGACATTCCGTTTTAGCCAATCTTCAGGTGATTCTACAGTCGCCAAAATATTCGACATCCATGCATTACTCGTTCCTTTAATTAACTAGATATACATACGCTTGGTTCCGCGCTTGTCTTCCGTGGTTATCCCTTGGTTGCCGCTAGATTGTTGTGATTGTGCGCGTCGCTGCCTGCTCTATTCACGATCGGCTTCTATGTACACGTACATTTCGGCATACCTCGCGATTTGCGATCGTCCGACGCTAAGGCGCATCAGGATATTTTATATGAGAGATAAACCTGACTGGGTATTCTCCTTTATCGGTTCCTCCATAATGATGATGAGGCCCATTGTATATCCCTGACCTCCCTGTTCCCACAGGTTTGGAAGGAAGGAGCCATTCCAACTAACTTGGGTGAACCGATCATAGTGGCAATATGCAAGCAGGGCAGTCGCACCGAGCATGCTAACCCCATGGATATTAGCCTAACAGTGGTGGTGACAAAGTGATCTGCTTCATTTCTAGTCCATGCATGTAAAGACCGTATATTCACACTGCAGCAGGTGACAACAGCGTAACACTTACTGCAACTCGACAATAGCTGTGTTCCTCGACTTCACGATTGCATTCGACTCAATCGATCCTGTTTGCGCGGAAAGGTGTGAATATTTTACATGCCCTCTACTCGAACGCCACTGGCCGCTCCACGGTCTCCGCTGACCTGTCGGATGTCCTTCCCACAACAATTGCCGTTCTTCAGGGCTGCCAAATTTCCCCATCTTTATTCAGCTTGGTCGCTAACTCCACCATGGAGTGTTCTCTTGCGGATTCTCACTATGCATGGTTTTAGTTGCTGTCTGGTGAAAAACTAGCTAATCTTGATTTTGCGGAGGATATTGTTTTGCTATTCAACGATATTAGGGCGGCCCAATCAATATTACGTGGCCTCCCTAGAGTGGTCCCTCATTTGACATGCGCTTCGCACCTTTGACATGCAAAGGATCATCAACTACTTGATAATCCCTTGACTTTTGATGACGTAGTATTGGAGATAGTTGATCAATCCTCCTACCTTTGCAGCTGAATCAGCAGCGATGGGCGCATGGCTGATGAATTTAGTTCACATTTTGCAAATGTTAGAACAGCCTTGAAACTTTTGACATATGTGGCTTCAGTAAGGGGTTTCCTATCGATCTGAAAGGACGTGTGTGCAAGGCTACAGTAAGGTTCATCGTCTATGGTAGTTAGGCTTGGCCCCTACAACCTAAGGCTTTGAGATGCTGCTTGAGGAACACTGCTAGTGTCGGATGGCAACAGCGTATCCGCAACAATACTATGCTAGGCGCCTGCTAGACTATGATAATCATGCTAGCTTTTTAGAACAGCAGATGTTTGACAGGTTGCGTTGGCTTAGGCACGTACTACGCATCCCCGGCCACCGCTTATCGATGAAGCTTTTGTTTCGTTTACCGGGTGTAGGGTGACATAAGGCTCGAGATGTTCAGATGTTAACTTGACAGCAGGAAATGTGGTCATTTACTTCCAAATCGGATGCCGTTGGTCCGTGTCGCCTTCCAGGTTGTAGTGCAAGTGACTTCCTTTGGTTTAGGTGGTGGTGTTAAAGGATATGCTTCGCAGTCGGTACTATTGGTGCGTTCGCTATCGTCTGCTGGTCAAATTGCTTGTTTACTGTGTGTCTGGTACTGAATTATCTGCAGAGTAATGGCTGGCTGTGTCGCGGGGTAGTGAAAGCCGCTAGGAATCTGTATCACCAACGCTACCTTATTTTTGCACTTTAACCATCTATTTGTGACGGTATGTTTTGTTGGAGAGGGGCAAACACCTTGACGCCAAATGTTTGCTTTGGGCATTTAGGTTCTGCATTAGGTCCCCTTCTATCATTCTTATCATCTTCACTTCCGTAGGCCAATGTGATTGTACGTCAGAGAAATATCACTTTCAATAGTTGATGTGGTTATTTTCGTATTGATCATAGTGGTGCTGTTGGCGTGTTGCTAATGCCTTTCTGTACTCTTTCTCCGGTATTGACATTGAATACTTGGCTTCTTTCACGCATAGCTTTCAGACCAATTGTGGGTTTCTCACGAACACGGATCTTACCACTCGCTTTTCAGACAGACAATGGTTTCATGGCGTCTGATCGCTTTAGTGGGTCTTATCCCTAAACAACTGTTTGTTTGTCTGCATACCGCTACTGTTATATTGGATATTGGTTTGACTCCTGAGCGCAGCCACAGCAGACTTTAATTGTGTGCAATATTGGAGGCCATCCTGAAACACATGCGGATTTTCGCTTTAACGACCGGGTCGTGCTTACAATGGATAAACGTTATGGGCTTGCTTAGACTCGATTGTATATCTGTTTCACTTAGCCATTAAAGTGTTCTGCTTGTTCCATCCAGTTGCTTCCACGGTGATTGCGCTTCCATCGACCAAACAGGTCGCATGTTCCAGTTTATCGGCTTATTTTCTCTAACTCGGTTCAGCACTCTACTTTATGCATTGGGATGCAGTTAGTCACCAGCAGCGACTTTCGGTCTCCTGATAGGTCAATTCTTGAGCCGTTGCATCGCAGTATAATGGTTCCTTCCACCTATGAGCTCAGTCGTAATTGACGTGCGCGCGATGTTTCCTTGGGTGTTGTTTTGTTGCTACGGCTTAATGTTTGGGTGGCAACTCATTGAGTATGTTTTCAATTCCAAGAATACGCTCGAATCAAAAGGTTGCCAGCGCCTAGCCGCTTACAATACGCATGTGTGGGCTACTGAGAAGGTAAATTTTTGAAGCATTCTTTAACAATGGCGCATAAGTGCGTCGTGTTTGTAAAGCGTTGGTGAAAGATGTGGATCTGTGCATTGTGGAGCATTATAGGGTTTGAAGTGTGCATAACGGAATTGGTGGTATACCGAAGCTATTCAAGTGGGTAAACAGACAATGTTGGCGATAGTTTTGTCTGCTTACAATGCAGCTTTGTGTTTTGGAGGTTACCTTTTTAAACAAAGAATAATATGTTAGATAGGACATTTTCCGATTGCATATAGGTGATGAAACATAACTACTGCCTGATATTTATTAAAGTCATATTTCCGTTACTGTTTACGTGCCCCATAAACTGTAACAGTGCATGTTCTTTACACCCCCGCGTGCATGGTTTATCACGTGAGAGAGTCGCTGCAGGAAGTCAATTGGTTAGCTTTGGTGTTATTGCACTGATGTTTGACTTTTTACTCCACTCCATATCTTCTGGTCTCGTATTCCATGTTGCTGGAATGGTTATCAGGCCATTTATTTGTTCATATCGTTTACTGTATGTATGGACGGTTGTAAGACATTGAACACTAGAATATTGTGGATCTTCCGGACGTTCATTCATTGAGTTCATTGAGTGGTAGAGAGCAGAAGAGGGGTCCCGTGTCAGCTCCTTCGCTTCCCGATCTTCCAAGGATTGCAAGCGAGTTCAAGTGCAGATGGGACTGTATCCATAGAAGTATCCCGTGAGTGTTACACTTTTAATAGTTGGTTGAGCCCGGGATTGATGAAGTGCTCAGTTATTGCGTGATCTAAAAAGGAACATCGGTAACGTACCCTGGCCAAACGGTTAATGCCCACGTTTGCTTCCCTAGCACTCCCTGCTGTATCAGTCACGTGTAGTACGTAAAGGATGAAAAGTAAAAAATGGAGAATAGGGAATAAGGAAGTGAACTTTAAATAAGGAAATGCTACCACGCACGAAGAAAAATAGAGAAAAGGAAATCGAATTACTAAGGTGAAAGGTACTGATGGAAATGAAAAGCTTTAGTGTTGCCATCCAAGAGGGTGAGGTTGCAGCTAAACCTTTTAACCGTAAATTACCTGATAACACTTTCCGGAAGCATGTTCCTACGCTGGAGTACTGCGTGACAGGCGGATTTACACCTAACCCGATCGGGCCGCGGTTTGTCCAGCTTCAATGAGTGACCGCGTAGAGCAGACGATGTAGCGGGACTGAATAGCTCAGATACATCAGGAACAACATTCCAAGGTAAGATACGGTAGGTTACGATAAGGTCTCCTCTAAGCGTCCGGTAGTGCACTGAATTCAGTTCAGTTCAGATGGGACTAGAACAATAGGAGAATCCCGTAAGTGTTCCATCTTGAGTGGATCGTTGAGCCAGGAATTGATGAAGTGCTCAGTTATCGATGGATCTAAAACGGAACACCCGTATCTCACCCTGGCCAACCAGTTAATGCCCACGTTTCCCCTCCTAGCAGTCCTTGCTGTGGCAGTCACGTGAAGTAAGCAAAGGCTAGGAAGAGAAATCGAAGGTACAGAATAAGGAAGTGCACTTAAATAAGAAAATAATACCAATATGTGAAGAAAAGTAGAGAAAAGAAAATCGAAGTGCGAAGATGCGAATTACTCAGGAACATGGAAAGGTTTCATGTTGCCACCCAAGAGCGTCAAGTTGCCGCTCACGCCCCTTAAACGTAGATTCCCTGATAACACTTTCCGGTAGCATGTTCCAGTGGTCGATAACTCGGCGTGATAGCCGGATTTCCGCCCTAATCCGATCGGACCGCGGTTTATTCGGCTTCAAGGAATGACCGCGTAGAATTCATTTGCAAACTAAGTAGACGCTCGGAGTACGTCTGTCTCCGTAATCCCTCGACTAACCAGGTACACACTCGTAATACCCTCTGTAGCATTATCATCATCATCACACACGTTAGATAGAGGTAGGGAACACCTCAGCTACTGTGCCGCAATACATAAAAGAAAAAAAGAGAAAAAATGCAACCGGTACAAGCCGGTTGAGCTACCGATAACGGATGAGCATCGTTCCGGTAAGCTACCAGCCGGCTACTGTGCATCAAAAAAATACTGCGAAATTATATAAAGCTAAATAATGAGATCGTGGTTGGAGGGGGAGGCTAAGACGGATGGGGTCATCATCATCATTACACGTTACCTGGAGGTGGAAAACACCTCAGCTATTGTGCCGCAATACAAAAGACAAGAAAAGGAAAACAAACAGTGGCACGCCCGCTGAGTCCCCAGTAACGGATGGACATCGTACCGGAGAGTTTCCAGCTAGCTGCCGTAAAAGAGTCATATTATACCTATCAGGTGAGATCATGATTGGAGGGAGATGCTAAGCAGGAGGGGAGTGGACAAAGGAACTCACAACACAAACGCCATTGGGGTCGGCTCCAAGCCATATCAGCGAGTGTGTCCAACCATACGTGTTCCCCGTCCTTAGGACCCCAGCCAGGCAGTCGGGATGCACCAACCGACGCCAACTTCGAAGTGAGGGTTTTCATTTCTCTCGACCAAGTCATCACTTGGCCTCCCCTCCTCCTCTTCCAACCGCACCCACAACGCGCAAACAATACTGGTCGCGGGAGTCGGTGTGCTGGCATGCGCAACACGTGGCCCAGCCATCGGAGCCTGGTGCGTGATATAATGGTGCTGAGCGGTTCACTCGCTCTTCCTGCACCAAATACGCTACGTCGAACACGCTCATTGCTCACGCGGCGCTGCCACCAGACATGACCTAAGCTGCGAAGGCAACGATGATCGAATATGACGAGCCTCTTTATGTCTGTCGACCTGATGGGCCAGGTTTCACAGCCATATAGGAGAGTTGAACGGACGGCTGCGTTGTAAACTCTGCCCTTCAGGGCGGGGTGACCCTCTGTAGGTCCAATTGGTCTTTGACGAGGCAGCGCGGACAAGGCTGGACGCAGTATTCCAGTATACTGGTATAAGACCCATCTACAAGCAAACCTAAGTCATACACCTTATTCCTTAGGTTGCGCACATTACGGCAGTAACTGAAGTTCTTCTTTAGATCCCGACCAGGGTTGTGCCCTACCGCAATTGGCACAGATGGGGCAGAACACAAGGGCAACAAGGATATGGTCCGTTAGGTGCACGGAATGAGCAGGTAATGGAACAAGGCTTACGCGAGGGTTCACAAGCAGTTACCTTCTAGCAATCAGGATGCCACGTATAGCTGATGCGATAACTGACTGCCGGAAATGGAGTTAAGCCAGGACCATAAAACGGTACCCGAGGGAACGACCCTTAAAACACGTTGTGTACGCCAAAGAGATAGCTTTACTGGCGCTCAATGTGACCTTACTTCGTCGAAATCGCTGGGGTGGTCGTTTAAGTAACAGTATCTAGAAGCGTCACGAAAGGTAAAGGAAAGGATAAGCTGTTAAGTCCCAGGCAAAATGCTCACGCACGTATGGGGGAGGTTATGAACACTCATTCCCACGCCGCGAATCACTAAGCAGCCTGGAGATAATATGATATCAGAAATGCAGAGTAAGCGCAAGGAATACATGTACCAGCGGTGGTATTTCAAGCGTACTTCTTACCTTTTCCATACATGTTCTCCTCGTGCTTGGCAAAGCACAATGGTTTTCCAGGTTGCTTAGAAGATGAAGTTGTCACGAAGGAACGTATGAGTAGATGTGTATCATCACAACACCGCGGAATTGCGGATGCTTCTGACGTCCTTAGGTACACCTGACCACCCCCATAATGTGTGATTCCGACACCGAGGTAGACATACGTGCCGTAACCGTCAAGTAGGGTAGGCACCGCATATGGGAGTGGTGGGTGTATCTAACGATCAAGGGAAGCAATGGCATGGTTATAAAAGAACGAAAAAGGTAGCGACATGACAAAGGAGGACTTACAAACACCGATGGCAGGTGAAATGCTCCTGTCCATTGTACGAGGCACACACTTGATGGTACCAAAGGCCGCAGTCGCAGCACATGACCCAGTCAACCACCTGTTCATTCTGTGCCTCGCAGTCTGCTTGGAGGCACGAAGCGCACTTGTCATTGTGGTAATTGGCTGGGAGTTTTGCATGGCAACGACGCTTCCTTGGAGGCTTATACACCCTGGATGTTTTCGTGTGCAAATCTCTAAAACGAAGTGGCTTCCTTTCCTGCTCCTGACCGACGGACGAATCTGGAATGGGCACTAAGCGTTGCTTACGTCTTGTGCCTTCCCTGGTAGGTTCACATATTCCTTACGCTGTTGATTCAATTATGGTTTCGGAGGCGGAAACTGCAACGTCCTCGTGAGAACTTCTTAGGTTGCGTAGAAACTCCCTCAACTGATCCATAAACTCACTATACTTTGCATCCCCAATCATCATCATCATCATTATACATGTCAGCTAGAGATGGTAAAACACCTCCGCTATTGTACCGCAATACATAAAGGAAATACATACATACATACAATACATAAAGGAAAAATAAATACGACAGTTGAATGCCAGCTGAGCTACCAGCAACGGATACGCATCGTTCCGGTAAGCTACTAGCCGGCTACTAGGCAAAAACAAAAATTTAATTACGTTTTACCCTAGGAAATAAGATCGTAGATGGAGGGGGAGGCTAAAGGGATGGGGAGGGACAAAGAAACTCACAGCAGGAACGCCACTGAGGTCGGCTCCTTGCCATATCAGCAAGTGTATCCAGCCAAACGTGTTCACCGTCTTTTGGACCCCAACCAGGGAGCCGTGAAGCTCCAACTGAGGCCAGCTCCGAAGTGAGGGCCTTCATTCCTCTGGACCAAGTCATCGCTTGGCCACCTCTCCTATTCTTTCATCCACATCCCCGGTGAGCAAACAACGCACGTCGAGGGAGTCGGTGGGCTGGCATGCGCAACACATGGCCCAGCCATCGGAGCCTGGTGAGTGAAATGACGGTGCCGAGCGGTTCATTCCCTTTTCCTAGGCCGTAAACAAGGCGTCGAACACGCTCGTTACTCACGCGGTGTTCCCACCAGATGTGAGCCAAACTGCGAAGGCATCCCCAAGGCTGTAAACTTGTGCCTGTATATCATCAAGAACCTGACTGCATTCGCGAAACTTCTGCTCCCTACTTACCACGGCAACTGGAACTCGACGGTAGGGGGACGATCGCAAGGGAGGTAGATGCGGTTACACGCGGATGTCGCGCGTGCGACACAACCCGACGGTTGTGACGCAATATGCCGTCAACCGGTCTGCCTGCCGCGTGCAATGCATGCACAATGTGGACGCACGGAAGCAACCACTGCCGACTGAAGCTGCATTGGCACGTTACGTCCTCATGCATTAACACGGCGTACTGTCTACGGCTACCTTGCACTTGACATCTATCATCGGACAACTCCGTCACTGTCGCCTTCTCCCTA